TTTATATATTTTTCCATAGCATCACATTTGAATTTAACAGTTCAATCTTTCAAATAACGGACAGATATTTGTGAAATTAAGTCACATTTGTGAATTATTTTAACAATCTAAATATGCTCATGTACAGACAGATACATTTAAAAAACAAGGAAATTATGTTTTATTACATTTACAGTGCCCGAACCACCTCAGGAGCCAGCTGAGGTGGTTAGGCTGCTGCCCCCGCGACCCGGCCCCGGATAAAGCGGATGAAGATGGATGGATGGACATTTACAGTGATTTTACGTTAATTTACATTTGAAATGTGAAATCAGTCTATTGATGTAAATTTAATGATATCCTAGAAGAACAGTACAAAACTGTAAAACACACAGTAAAATACTTTTATATTAGGATTTGTTTTTACAGTGTGGTCAAGGGGTTGAAATAGAATTGTTGACAAATATTTAGTAGTATTTAGACATAATTATAGATCAGAAGTTATCACAGAGGCCGAAATAAAATGTATTTTCTCCTTCTAAGTAACGAAACTGGCATTTAGCCTTACTGGACTGGATGCGTTCCACAACTGGTTATTGTGGATGACTTAATGTAAATTTTAAAAGAACTCTTTGTCGGTGTGAATGGTGCATGAAATTCGTTTGAAACAGTTGTGTGCCTAATGTGTTATGTCATATAGTCTGACTGCTGTGTTTACTTGTATTTGTGTTTTTTCCTTATGTTTAAAAATGTCACCTGGTGCCATCTTTGTCAGGTTATCCTTGAAAAAGACACTTTAAATCAGTGACACTTTAATCTATATAAATAAAAGATATCAAACTCTCAGTGACTTACTAATACACAGAACACGTGTATTGTGGTAATATTTCTGAGCGGATTAGAAATAGAAATGATGGTCCATCTATGGCAGCAGCACCTGCACTGGTGACTCACACAGTGGCAGTGTGTGTACAGAAAAAACAGCAGGTCAGTTCAGTTTCATATTCCCATGGATGATATTAGCCTTTCTCGGTTTATCTCATGTTTCATCGCAGCCCCATTACCCACACAGAGCAGCGATGTCTCCAAATCATTACCTGCGCACCGATCCACGTCTCTACACGATCTCACCAGTGGACATGGTGGCATTAAACCCCTGTAGATATTATATATGTTTATTGTAACCTTAAGTATCGTAGCCTGATCCAGTCAATCTGAAATGAGCCGCTGAGCCGCGCAGACAGCGGGACTTTTCTGGGATTTAAATGTCTGGTGCTTCAGTTTATTAAGAGAAAGCAAATACTCCGAAAGTATGCTCGTCCGTTCAGAGCGTTAGTAGACCTGTTGTGCAGCAGGTCGGCAGCCCTGAGCCTGAATAGTCGCTGCGCCTGTGCTTGACGCGCAGACTTGTGTGATTTCGGCGCACAGAGACGCTGCTGTACAGCCCTTCCATCCATCCAGACAGCGGAGATTTGGCAAAGCAATAGATCAGATTACATAATTTAACATAATTAGATGCAAATTCTATCACCGAGCCCCCGCTGAGATGGAGAGGAGCTCTTTTCTTGTGCAAGAAATTACTACCTGCTGGTCTCCAGACAGGACACGCGTCCTAAACGCTCCCCAGAGACAGTTCCGTTTTAGATATGGATTCCACATGAAAGTAACTCCTTGTTCTCCTGACAGCGAGAACCACTGGGGAGGGTTTGAGCATAATGCCACAGCCCACGCTGCGTGCCAGACCTAAGTGCTGCCCCGTACACCAGTTCCTATCGCCAAGCCGCGTTTGTGAAGACAAAAAGCCCCCCCACCGCTACTGCCACCATGCCACTTGTCAGCTGAAGGGAAGCGAGTGGCCAGCCCCAGGTTACTCACACATACACACAAACCAAGAAACACTTCAACCAAAAAAGAGCAGCTCAGCAAACGCCGGAACGCGCAACAAGGCGACCGGTCTCACGTGGAAGACCGATTTAAACCACCGTACTCACTCTGGTTGATTTACGCCTTTACATCGCGCAAGTATCAATTATTTATCGGGCGCATTACTGTACAGCCAGAACAAATCGATGTGTCGGCGCGCCAGGAGGTTACCAGGCAGGATGCAATTCATCAACACACACTCACACACCCGAGAGAAAGAGCAGCGAGATCCTACCTGGTTGAAACATACTTTGGAAATAAAAGATGACCAGAATAAAGGATCCCAAACAAGTGGCAAATATCATCCGGCATATCCTGCTCATCCTCATCAGTTCGCTCAGAGTCTGTTTCATGGCGGGACGGAGAAGCTGGAGGATGCCGCGCGCTTTGTGCGGGAATGAAGGGCCGGTCTGTCGGAGGCTCCGGGGCTCTGGCGGTACTGATGAGGATTGTCCGCCGGTCAATGAGCTGAACACATCCAACATGGAGCGTACCACTTCTGGGCTAAAAGAGGGGTGGTTCGTCCTCGGAGCGAATGAGCGCGTCCACGTGTGCACTTGAATTTATGAGCATAATTCCAAGCTGCTGTTTGTTGTTATGGCGCCGTGTCTGTCGTGGCTGTATGACCAACACAAGGAAACTTTTAAAATAAGAACAAAGTATAAAAACATCACCAGTCTCAACAGAGATCGATATAGGTTAAACGTTTGCAACATTGTGTATTGGGCCTACACTCCGATGGCGTGCTTTGGGTGTCAGTTCTTAACTGTCTGTATTAGTTTAATAGATGTATTGTGGGTTTAAAAAGTACAGTGCTTCCTTCCGAAATGCATAACATAAAATTAAGTCAACAGCATCTAGTCGTTTTAACTTCCTTTGAACATCCACAACGTCAGCTTACATTTGAGTCGACTATACTGCAGTGGTGCCCCGTAACCAAGTACACTTTATTACAGTTCAGTATACTTTTCATTTTATGCTGCTTTTCACTTTGACGTCTGATTAGTGCAGAGGTGAGTGTTTAACTCTGAACACTATAGTTTTGTTACTTTACAGCACATTAGGATTTTAAAACTTTAATAATATAAGGAATGAAATGAAACACAGAAAGCGAAGCCTCAAAAAAGTGAATCTAGTGCTATCGCCTATCATAGCACAAGGCTCTGACCCATCCAGGTCCACCAGCAAGAATATTAGTTATTCTTCAGTCATGTCTAATTTTTAAATACAAGTTCATTGTCTTGCAGAAATCCATCAACATTGGTCCACCTTGGCTTGCAGTGAATATTTTTTACTTTTATTGCTACTCAAGTACATTTTGCTGACAAGATTTGCATACATTTAGTTAAAACAGGCTGCGAATGCAGGACCTACTTTATATTATAGTCCACTATTTTTATGTTGTATTGCTACCTTTACTTAGCAGAAGATGTGAGTATTTCCTCCACTATTGCCGTTGGATGGCTAAAACTATAATGACTCAGAGGGAGAAGGACCAAATGAGTTAATGTCCAAAATAAAAATTATTTGGTTAAAACACGCAACTATCTTACGAAAACAGTGTGCCAAAGAAGCACAAGAGGAGCACACAGGAGCCTTTAAACAGTCCAAAAAATGCCAAACACGATGAGGAAAACATGACAAGATCAAGAGCAATGTGTGGAGTACATATGCCTGCAGGTGAATAAAGGATCAAATGTATAACTGTGAAACTGGGCAAACCAGTTTTCGAGGTCTAAAAAGTTACCATCCAGACAGGAACCAGTGATAACAACACAAAATGTGAAACAGCTCGAACCAAAACATAACAAAAATCCAAAAACAGTCATTCAGCATTCAAAGTGTGTAGTTTGTTTTGTCATGTCTCAGCTGATTGATTTGTTTTTCTGACAGAGAACTAGAAGCACTGTAAATGATTGTTTTAGGCTTCAATGATCGAGTATTTCACAAAGCAAAGAAAAAAGATGGATCTGAGCACACAGATGTGCTTTTACTCTTCACTCTGCCCTCTTCATCATGTTACAGCAGCTTCATCCTGTGACCCTTTGGAGGTTCCTGGGCTCCATGGGCTGGAAACCATTGGACTAAACTAGTGAGCTGTGTGCAGTGGAATTAGAGCTGGCTCCACCTTGAAGAGCTACAAAGCTAAACTACTGCTTATACACATGAATAGATCTGTATTAGCAATATAACGCTGTTTCATATATTAATGACATTAGCTGATAATATGAGGACTTGTGCTTCTCATGAAATCAACCAGTACAGCTTTTCAGTTTGTGACTTAAATGCAAGCAGAGCTGCTTCATTCACTTCATTCAGCTACAGTCCCACCTAGTGGAGTAAGAGCATACTGTAAGAAGGTCAGGCAAAACCTTTAAACCAAGTCCAAGCCAAGAGGCCGGTGATAAATAGACTCCTACATGGCATCTCCACCTTGCTGTGAGACCTGCACAAAGTCATAGAAGCTGCTTTGCGTTGATCAAATTATGCTCTAATTGCATTTTCAAGCACACGCCAGAAAGAGGCAGTCCTGTGCACTTGTTCTAATGAGGGTATCTATCTTTTGCAGGCAGGTCTGTCACAGAGGCAGTCAGAAGGTGGTCAGGGGGATAGCAATAGAAAATCTGCATCTAATCACTCAGCATCAATGGTAAATGGACTGATTCTTATATAGTGCTTTTCTACTCTCCCGGAGTACTCAAAGCGCTCTATACAACCACTCGTACCAGCACGTCTATACACAAGTGCAAACTAACCTGCATTCACTTTCATCCACGCTCCGATGAACGCATCAGAGGGCAATTTGGGGTTAGTATCTTACCCAAGGATACTTGACATGCAGACTGGGGAAGCCAAGGATCGAACCACCGACTTTCCGATCAGTAGCTGATTTGCTCTACCACCTGAGCCACAGCCACCCCATCAATGATCATAGAGTGCAACAACATGGAGTGGATGTTTAACCTGTGCACTCGAGACAGGCTGCAACTCACCAAGACAATGAAAATGATGCCCTTGCACGGGACACGTCCATGCTGTGAGCTCACAGAGGTACTTTTTTAAAGAATGTAATTGAAATGCAGAGTGCAGACCTGAGGTGATGAGGGATGAAAGAACTCTTCAGAGAGATACTTTATGTGCTTCACTCAATGACCTGCACCAAGATTCAGCCGTTGCTTTAAAGCAGATGTTGTGCTCTGTGATGCTGAGTTGGAATATAAGAGTAAAAATAGGGAACTCTAAAGGCTATAGCATTAGCTTCCACCAAGAATACCATTCATTTAGATAATTCCATAATCTTCCGTCTAGTTCATTACATGAAATTAAGTCTGTAAAACCCCCGAGGCTCGTACCAGGCAATAAAAACACAGAGTATAAGCCAGAGCTTTTACTCCATGTAAATGCAGCAAATCCCAGTCTTATCACTATGTTGCAGCCTTTAAAATATTCTACTAAATTTAAGCTTACAGAGGCTTTCAAAGGCAGAACCTTAGGGAGCATCTTATCTTCCCTGAAGCAACGAAGCAAAAAAAAAAAATGCTTCAGTGGGACTTTATATTTTAAAGTTATACTCAAAGCAACCAGTTCATAAAAAAAAGCAAACAAACAGAAAAAAGACGCACAAAAAGAGAGAGTGTGTTAGCAGCAGACTAGTCGTCACCCGCCTGTCTGTCAGGGTTCAGGTGAAAACATCACTCGAGGATCATCCAGCCTTTCTGCCACCTCCACTAATCAGCTGGTCACAAACGTGTGCCTGATGTCCTGTTGCAGTAAGAGACGGTGACGCGCAGCAGGGGAGCTAACCTCAGCAGTTTCCTCTCAGCATCAAGGCCTCAGACAGACGTTGTGTCTGGGTCAAAGCGGTGAGCACCACTCCACTGCAAAATCCATAAAAGTGAGAAAATGTTTCACTTTGTCTTTGCAACAACACACTTTTTGCAAAGACCAATGATGTCATCTCATTTAGATGGAATCTAAGCCTACAACATAACCTTCGGCCTGTGTATAAAATAAACTGAGCTGTTTTGGCTCATTTTCAGACAGACAGACGTCTGCGTCGAATCATAATTACTACTGGTTCATCACTGTGACACATTTCACATTACACACAGTCTCGTTCAGTAATTACAGCAGAGCAATCAATCCGTAGTCCACAAGGTGATATATAGTTAACCATCACTCCCCGAACCTCGTCTTAGCTGACACTGGCGGACTCAGTGACCTCTATTTACCACTTCATTGAATGTCTTATTAATTAACTTTTGAAAATGTCAACTATTACGGGCTCATGTACTGTGGGGTCAATCTCTGCTGCCTTGAGCGACAGGTTTTTGTTTTTTAATTAAATATTGTCTATGAATAATTCAGACTGGCTGCATCCAAAGTGGGAAACTCATTTAAATGTGCTGCTGTGGCAATGACCCCAAACAGCAGAGCTTTTCTAGGGCATGAACACTGTAATATCTCCAAAGTGAGCTCTCAGCACAGCTCTTCAAAACCAAGTGTAGCAGCACATCAAGCAGAAGACAGAGGATTAATAACAAAAATAATTAAGAAAAATTATTAGCAGGTGTCAGAAGCAGCAGTTTGTCATTTGGTGCCTTAATAGCGTCCAGATTAAGTTGTTCTTTCTAAACGGTTTTTAAAATATTGTGGAAAAATACTGACCTGGGCTGATCGGGGTGGCTGCTCACAGCAGCATCTAGTTGTTCTTTGGTGAGACAACATTTCACTAGTGCCACAAAACCCTGGAGGATATCTCCAGCACTGGGGCCCATAATATGGAAACCAATCACATGTTCCTGTTGAAGCACAGCAGTTCGGCATTGGTTGAGCTCTTCTGGATTGATTTTTCCTTCAGTGGAACAACGGAGCTTCAGGAGGTGCAGGGGCGTCAAACGGCTGCTGGCTATGTCCAGATGATGCAGAGAGCATCCCGCATGACTGAGGGCCCTCATCTGTGTGGTAACCACTGGGTTTTTCAACAGGACAGCGCTACAGTACACAATGCCCGCTGGAACTTGGATTTTTATTGTGTGTGTGTGTGTGTGGGGGGGGGGGATCACAGGTTGGGTTTTTTTGGGAGGTGTGGTCCTAAACTTTGGATCAGTTGTAAAACAGCCTGTTTCAGTTTAAGTGTTGTTTTCAATAAACACTCCCATTTCTTCTGGTTGCATGTTGAAAGCTCTACTTGGAACCTTGTTAAGATCCAACCATGCAAAGCTGTGGTACACCTGCAATAAATATGCCTTTTTTATGTGTGTGTGTGTGTTTGCTGTGTGTTGGCTTTTCCAGATGTCATACAGGCTTTCTCCTCAGACAGACCGAAGGCTGCGTACAGTGGAGTGAGAAGAACAGTGGGTACAGTAGCGTAATCACATTGTGACCAAAAGACTGATACCGACTGTTTCTCATGCAACATTTATC